ATTGCTAAAAGAAATTGAATTTGTAGTTCTAAATAAACTCTAAATGCATTTAGGACGTTTTTACTCACTTTATGTCTCTTCTACGATGTTATTTCTCTCTCCAACAACATAGGTTACAATTAGATTAGCATGACCAATTATGCAAATTAGGCGATGACATCATTTAGCGACTTCTAGCGACTTTTAGGACAACCAATAGCGATTTTCCTTACTGAGGAGTTGGCAACACTGCTCCTTATCCCGTTGGATTTTTCAAAATCAAGATGTCAACAACAGCTAATTCTCGTCTCTGAGCCTTATTACTCATGTATGTTTTAGGCTATTTTTAATGCAAATACGTAACAATAAAATGACTTGCTAGCACCTGTACTCAAGAGGAATGTCCTCCAGTCTTAGTGAGTGAAGTCCTGGTATTTTCTTAGTCTGATACTAGCTAGTATCTATAGGCTAGCTGTGAGTGCGTCTTGCTAACCAAGCTTGTTAGCATTAGCTGAAAACTTGGGACTCTACCCATTTTTGTAAATATGGTCACTTCTGGATTCCAAAAGACAGAAATGACCAGCCGCAAAGCAGAAATCAAAGACAGGACTTCAGAAACACTGGGACGTCATCACAGGGGCCTCATCCATCTTTTAAATGCAGTCTCTGAATACATACCTTAGTTCTTAGCATTTCTGTGTGCGCCCTACTTCTTCAAAGGTCAGGCTGTTATTACTGTAGCAGCTGATGTGATGCAAGTTTATGAATTTCCCCCAAACACCCGTTTTTCTGTTAAATAATTTATTTTGGATTTTAATCTCCTGCCTGTGTGGTTTGAGTCTGTGCTGATGTTCTCCGGTCACAGTGTTTTCCAATAAGGCTGGAGGTTACCATGCAGTGGCACTCTGATGATAAAAGTTGTTAAATCCATTACTTGCAATTTGAATAAGACCAAACTGCTGTATGCTGTTCTATTCTTCCTGTGTGAATCCTGCAGAGATTTGATTTCACTAAAGTTTTTAACGATCCAGGTTACAAATTTGAATTTATTTGCCTGATTAATTGTTTAATTCAAGTCAGTGATGGACCAGTTTATGTTTTTAGTTTATCACATTACTATGTTATTCAGGCCTCGCAGGCGCCCAGCACACACAACTCATGGTTTTCAGTATTTCTGTATTTCATTCGGTTGAAACTAAAGAACCAGAGATCCCGTCTCATTATTTCAAAACAGAACATAACACAGACAAAAACAGGTGTAACACACGCACACATGGGTTACAGTAGCACCACAAATAATGTCATTTCCCTCCACTATATAAGGAGGCAGAAATCTGAGAGATAAAATATCCTAAAGCTGAAGAACATTTATTTATTTGTGTTAAAGGATCCAAAGGTTTCACCATCGGCTTTTTTGAGTATAACTATTTTAAAACTTCCCACAAGATCTTTTGTGTATTTTGCAGAGTAACTGGTATCGTTTTGTGGAAAAAGATGTCTCCTGAAATGTTCAGCACTGAGAACCACAAACGGTTTCTTTTTGGCCTCCGCCTTGAGATAAAAGCAAAAATGTCCACAACCTTGTCACAAACATATGAGACCAGAATTATCTATGGCTATACAAGTAAAAGTTTATCCCAGCAAATGTAATCCATCAAACATCTTTTAAATGCGAAATGAAAGTCCTGTGATACTTCTGGCACTTGTGGCATTTGTATGGTTTCTCCAGGGAAAGGAGACAGTGAAAGGAAGGCTATTTTTATTGTGCTCATTTTAATTTTTTTTGACAATAAAATAAAGAAAGCCTCTGAGAGATCCTATGGTAGAGTTTTCTCTCTCTCTCTCTCTCTCTCTCTCGCTCACTCTCTCTCTCTCACTTCCTCTCTTGCTCCTGAGTCATTCACTAGAAGAATATAACACAAGCTTCCACTGAGGATTTCCTTGCAGCATGCTCCATTGTCATTTCTCTCTGTTAGTAGGACCTCGGTTTATTTCCACTTTCTAGGCATTGTTGTTTCAAAAACACAGTTTCACTTCATCACGGTTCAAAGAATAGCAGCGCTGATTGGGGTCACCGCCATCTGGTCGCCTTGACCATCAGCTCGTTTGTGTCTTACTCGAGGTGAGCTCTGCTACTCTCTGACACATGATAAGTTCAGGCCATTACTGTTTATAAAACATAATGGAAAAAAAAGAAAAACAAACCAAAAACAGTAATAGAATACATCGCTACATTGATATTACTGTTACTAAAAGAATGCTCAAGTGAGGCTTCAGAATCAAGCAATTATAAAATTACAGTCGGGTGAAGTATATGTTAAGAAATCAGGATTATTTTTGTTTTCAATTCTCAAAGCAACGCTAAAGTTAAAAAGATGAAAAAAAAAGAATGTTTTAAGGCTATTGTTTGGTTAAAGCCACAATCTGGAACGTGTAACGCAGCAACAGCCACGGCTCATCAGTTTCCTTTTAGATCAGAGTTGGATTGTTTGCTGCAGCAGCAGAGGAACCATGTCATAGCCGCTGCAGTGTCAGGGAAGAAGAAAAACATTTTAAAAAATTTGCCTTTTTTTTCTTTTCCAGCCACACAAATGAATGTGCTTTTTGCGGTGCTACAGACAGCTGTGATGATTTTACTCACACGCGATTATGGCTTTAACCGGCTTAATGACTTGAGCATTCTGAACTCATTATAGCAGAGAAAAAAGTTTTTTTTTTTGTTTTTTTTTACAGTGTTTCCACTCAACAATAAACTTGTCATTGTTTGCCATATCTGTTGTGTTCTCTGTAGATTTTCAGTGTCATCATTTCAAGGTTGGAGTCAACTCTGTTTCAAATCATGTCGCAAAACTGGTTAACGTTAAATTCAAGGTGCATTGATATGAAACTCTGTTGACTCCACCCCTGGTTTACAGTCTCATTAAATGACTTGTTGTAGCACAGTTCTGTGTAAAGTATATTATCACATTTTTTTCTCCTATTTTTCACCTCCAGTGTTTAAATCCTGCAGATATTTCAGATATACACAAAGTCTCTGTTCACCACATAAGTGATACTAATCACATTTTACCATAACACTTCATATATTTAAAAAAAGAAACAACCAACTGCCAGTACTTAAATAGAACCTCTTTAGCAACTGCTTTGGGCTTCCAGGACAAACTGGTCAACTGTGTGCACCAATTTGGTCACATTTGATTCTAGGAAGCCGATCGCTTCTTATTGATCTCCCAATTCTTGGTCTCACAACTGGCCATCTCAAAGAGAGTTTCCTCTCAGACAATGGGCACAAAGACTGAATGCAGCTCGTTCATCAGAATCCAGCTGCTGAACAGTATTAACTTCTCGAAGAATACATTCATCTGTGTGTTGGTTGCGAGTGCATGAGTACACTTGAAGTTGCATGTATGCATGTGCTAGAGTCGTTAACTGTGAGGATGATGGTGGGTCAACAGTTGGGTCCTGGCTTTGAGAGGGCGGGTTGGGGAGGGTAAGGTGTCAATTTACTACCACAGTACTTTGGTCTTAAAAATGATTGGAGGCGGGGAAGCAGTGAGCCAATGGTGGTGGATCATTTTGTGCAAATCGTAGTTCTGTTTGGCACACTGACAAGTATTGATGCGAAGGTAAGAGGTCTGTAAATAGTAGTACTTAAAATCGTCTCAAATGTGTTGCGATTTGTCAAGTTAGCACAATGGCACCACAGTGGAACCAGAAGAATTCAAAAAAAGGTCAAACGTTAAAACCCTGGGAGATGGGACGAGGGAGGGGAAGGTGAGGGAGGCGGGGCGATGGGCTTGAGGGTTGGGATTGGGGGGGGTGAATTGTCGATGAAAAACACAGTGGCGCTACAGTGTATCGGGAAGGAAGCTGAGAGTTTTAGGTCTTTTTTCCTTTTTTTCTAAGAGTCGTTTTTTGATTTTGAACAGTGCAGATATGCTTTCCCTATGGGAATTGAAGACATTCATTTGAAGATTAGAATTGTTTTTCTTTTTTTTTGAAGTTCGATTTCAAAATCAAAAACGTACCATTTGTAAGTGATCCGGCAGGTGACTAACTCGGGATTCTGGTTTCTGAAAAGTCTGAAAGATTTCAAAACCCATGTTGTACAAACAAAACAGTCACCTCTGTTTGCAAATATAGAACTTCTCTCTCTCATCTGTACAACGTTCTCCTCTTTAGGAGGATTAGGGTGGGGTGTGGGCGGGATGGGGTTCACCAAGAGAAAAGGTGGGCTTGTTTCTGGCTTGACGAGGAGCACATTCCTCTTGGTAGAAAAAGGAGAACTCAAAAGTCTTGTCCATCGACTGTTTGTGTCTCTGTTGGTGTACACTCCTCAGCTGAGAGTTTCAAAACAGTCAAAAAAACACAGTCACACGATAGAGCCATGCCATATTCAAATAATAGAATATTAATGATGAGGATCATAGGAATAATAGAAGACCAGTAATGATAATAAGAATAATGAATAGTAATAACAACATCTCATATTAGCAGTTTTTTCCCCCCCTTTTTTTAAATCCTGTATATAAAAACAGTGGTGAGGAGAAGTTGATACACAGTAGGGCTCTACTATCCCCTTGGTTGATTTGGCACATTATATTCACTCTCTGATGAGAGCTACCTACTCATTCTCAGCACAGTTAAATATTACTGTAGCCCGGCGACCCATCCAGAATTTGTTGCTTTTGATGTTTTCAATCTCCGAAATCACAGAAGTTTAAAAAAATAAATAAAATAAAATTTAAAAAGTCTACTCATGTGGCAGCATCGCAGGACGCGATGCAAAAACAACCTCTCTGGAAAAGCAAAGTCTTTATTATACACCGCTGCGACGAGATTGAAAGCATCCCTGGACTATTCAGGATGGCCTGCCCAGCAACATTTAAGGTTTCTATTCTTAATGATGATTCTGCTTTTCTTCATTCAAAACTTAGTACAAATAGCTACATAACTCTGAGCTATAACTTCCATTACATTACAAAAAGTAACTCAGTCTCTATATGTTATAATTTTTGTCGTTCAGTATAATATATTAGTTTGGTCCTTCTCCGTGCTCTCAGAAGAAAAGGCTTAGTTTGTGTAAAGTATGTCCGTGTGTGTGTGTCTGTGTGTACACGTATTTGCAATCTGATTCTGTAGCTCCTGTAAGATGTGTGCATTTGTGTGTATTTACAGCTCTTTGTTGAATAAGTCACTGTGTATCAGTATGTCATGGATGCACTTTTGTTAATTTTCCATCTTCGCATGGTTTGGGGGGATCTCCACACGTGGGATCAGGCCTTCTGCTGGGCGGACACACCCTTCCAGTAGTCCAGTATGTCATGGAGATCTTCATCCTTGGCAAACTGAACTTTTCGCCTCAGCGCATGTCCGGCTGCCACGTAGCCTTCATCCTCCATAGATGCCTGCCTGTGCCTCTTGCGATGCAGTTTGAACCGCTCCCACAGCCCCAGGGTCGGGGTGCAGAGGAGCCCTTCCTCCTCCTCGTCTTCCTCGGGGCTGGAGCAGTAGCTCAGGTTGTGGTATTGTGGCGAGAGCGGGTAGTGTGGCGAAAGCTGGGAGTAGGCTAACTCCCTCTGCTTGGCCTGCCTGCTGAGAGTGAGGGGGTCTAACATCGAGGGCTTGCGGCCCCCTGGGTGGTGGTGGAGTTCCTGCAGGATCTGGGGGTGGTGCTGCAGCTCCTGGAGATGCTGCTGGGAGCCGGGGTAGGAGTGACGGTGCTCGTTGTACTGGCGGATTCTCTGGGCTTCAGCTCGTAAGATGGCTGCAGCCGGGGTGACTGTGCGGATGGGCTCACCTCCCCCGCCCCCCCTTTCCCCTCGATCCCCTGGTGAGGCTCGCTCAATGTAGCGGGACTCTGATGAGTGGTACCCTCCCTCTGAGCGGAAGGAGCGAGGGCTCCGGGCGGAGCCGGGAGAGGAGGACGTGCTGGGCCTTTTAGATGTTGGAGGAGCCTCCATGCTGTGGTGTCGCTGTAATGAATGATGATAACTTCTCCCCCTCTCTTCTCTTCCTCCTCTCCCTCCTTTGTACACCGGGGAGAGGAACTCACCTCCTCGTTCCCTTTCTCCTTGCTCAGACAGAAGCACCAGCTGTGGCTCTGCTGTTGAAACAGCTCCTCCACCTGCAGAAGAGGGGGATTTGATCCCCTGTTGAAAGGAGGTAGATTCAGATTTGAGAGCATCTATACAATTGTTGATGATCTGGTTAACTTTATCTACTTCCTTGGCAATGGTAGAGATCTCTGCTACTGAGCCTTGGGGATTTGCTTGCGGTGACATCTCCCTTTCTCTCTCTCGTTCTCTCTCCCTTTCAATGTCCGACCCTCTCACCTCCATATAGTTGAGTTTAGGGGGCTTGTGGGCTGGTGTCTCTATCACCTCCTGAAGCTTGTATGGATCTATCTCACCACCCTGAGGTAGGTAGGGCATTCTGGACAGACTGTCCCCAGCACCAAGCTTCTGGGAAACGGTTCCTCCACTCCCTCCCTCTATATCCCCTTCTCCACCATACTTTAGCTCTATCAGTGTTCTCTGGATCCTGCTCATCTTCCTTTCCTTTTCCTCCATGATCCTCTTTCTTCTCAGGCAGTGGACAACAAAGCCAAGGAACACAAGCATTCCAAACAGGCATCCCAAAATTGTCATAATGTAATGGGTTGCTGATGACTCAGTGGGTAATCTGCCTGTTCCGACTCGACGGCCTGTTGAGATGGTCAGACAGGTGTGGTTGAAGCGAAGGGAGTTTCGTATAGAAGCCACACAGTAGGTGTAGTCAGTGTTTGGTTTTAAGTTCTTTAGCTCAATATCTTCTCTTTTATCTTTCAAATTCTGAATATCCGTGAAGAAGCTATTGTTATAAAGCATCAGGATGTACATTTTCTTGTACGGATCGGGAATCTGAACTGTTATCACAGCGCTCGAATCTAGCACTTGCTTTACAGTCATAAGGGGTTTGGCATCGGGGAAAATGGGACTCAAGCTGATCACCTCACCCCCATCAGGAGGGGTCCCGGAAGCGCAATCATCCAGTCCGCAGGGAGAGGCGAAATCTGGCGGAGGAGTTGTGGAATCAATACCATAGAAGGATGTTGCGCTACTGCTGTCATCTGTGCACACGTGACTGAGCGCATACAAAGCACTGCGTTGGTTAAGCATGCGGGGATTTTGGTTGAGAAGGTTGTACCCCGAGAATCCATGAGGGGAGTCACACACCATCCTCTCACTGGTCCTGTTGGGGAAGGCTGCAAGCCAGCGAAGGAAACCCAGCAACTCGCAAGAGCAATTGAAGGGGTTAGTGTAAAGTTCACAGGTGGTCAGCTTAGAGAGTCCAGAGAACAAACTGCCATCCAACACCTGAATCCTGGAAAAAGATCAATAAGAAAGTATAAATTTATTGGCAAGTTACCCCTTTAGATGTGTTCTTTCACATTTAATGCACCTATTCCCTCCATTTAATAGATTTCAGCTTATGGTCAAAAACATCTTCTGCAATACAATTTTCAACAAGTCCAAAAGAGCAGTTAAGCTTATTTCATTTAGCTGTTGCTATACATTTAGGTCAACAGATCAATACCAATTACCAAAACCAATAGTAAGAACAAGACAGTTATTTCCACTGAGAAAAAAAGTGAGTAGCGTAGGGATCTGCTGAGGATACCGTCACAGGAGAAAATTAGTATCACTGAATGGTCAGTAGTGCGTTTTTCCATCATCAGTGCAAATAGTTGAATTTAGAAAACAAGCATAGCTAAAATGCCTGGCATTTTAATTTTTGTTTGTTCTCCAGTGTACATGTGCTGCAATTATTACAATTACAATTTCACCATCTATATATATCAACAATCATCAGGAATAACATTATGAGCACTAACAAGCGACATTTAAAATGAATAACACTGATTATCTCTTCTTCATGGCACCTGTTAGTGGGTGGGGTATATTAGGGAGCAAGCGAATATTTTGTCCTCACATTTACTGTGCAGGAAAAATGGGCAAACATAAAGATTTGAGTGAGTTTGACAAGGGCTAAATTGTGAAAACCGCAGATTTTGTGGGGTGTTCCCACTCTGCAGTGGTCAGTATCTTATCAAAAAGTTGTCCAAGGAAGGAAGAGCGGTGAACCTGCAACAAGGTCATGGGGAGCCAAGGCTCACTGTTGCATGTGGGGAGCAAAGGCTGGTCTGTGTGGTCTGATCCATCAGATACTGAAACCAAAGTTTCTGAAAAAAGTTAACACTAGTTCTGATAGAAAGCTGTCAGAATACAGAGTGCATAATAATGGGGCTGCCCATGCTGACCCCTGTCCACCGCCCAAAGCACCAACAATGAACACGTGTGAGAGATGCACTATGGGAAGAAGGCAAGCTGGCACAAGCAGTGTGATGCTATGTTGGAAAAACTTGGGTCCTGCTATCTCTGTGGATATTCTGTTTTGACATGTACCACCTACCTAAGCACTGTTGGAGACCATCTACATGGGCATGTTATTCCCTAATGGCTGGAGCCATTTTTAGCATGCACCCTGCCACAAAGCAAATATGATTCAGCAATGATTTGCGCATCAACAAGTTTGAGGTGTTAATCTGGCCTCCAAACTCCTCAGATTTCACTATAATCAAGCATCTGTGGGTTGTGCTAGACAAACAAGTCCGATCCATGGTTGCACCACATTGCAACTTAAGGGACCTAAAGTATCTGTTGCTCACTTCCAGATACCACAGCTTCAGGGGTCTAGGGGAGTCTTTGCCTCGATGGGTTAGGGCTGTTTTGGCAGCAAAAGGGGCACCAAAACAAGAGTCACGATGTTATGCCTGATTGGTGTTCATATATTATGGCTGAAAAAGCAGCAATTTCCAACATTTAAGCAGTTTCACCTAGTAAGCATGATTGTCAATACCTGTTCATGGAGAGGTCTATATTCTCTATATTCGGACATTCCCAGAAGGTGTTGGGTGTAACAGTCTCAATGAGGTTGGCTTGCAGGTAAAGGTACTGCAGCTTGCCCAGGCCTCGCAACATGCCCTCTGTCAGGTTCCTCAACTTGTTAAAGCCCATCTGGAGAACCTGGGGAGGCAAAGACAAGTGGGATTAGTCTAATCTCTGAAGACCTAGCCTGTGCCAGGCATCACTCACCACAAGCTGGAAACATACGGAACAAACAGATGACGATTCAAACAATTCGTGTTTGACACCGTGATCTAAGCCCGTGTGCTGCGCTGAATTTACTGAGATCTTTCTTGTTCACATTTTACCTCCTGGCTTAGCTCCAGCAGCTGGATAGATGTGTAAGCATGCCAGCTCATTATGGATGTGTTGAGATCGGTTTGGTGAAACACTTTGCTTGAATATTCCTGGAAGCCATAATGAGCGGGTGTTGTCATTCTCATGTCTGTGTCCATCTGTGCGTATATCGATGGAAGAATTTCGATCTCTTTAGACCCCTGTTTTGGTTTACATATTATTCTAAATAGAACAGTTTAAACTTGTAATATATGATAAATACAGTTTGAATAAGTCTATGTTTATTGTAGAAATCTATAAGAATAAGTAAAGAAATGGTATGCATAGTTTGATTCTAAACTATTTGTCTCTGTGAACTCCTCAGGACTGTTTTATTGTGATTACTTTCACATAAGATTGACAATTTCACCATATAAATGAAACATTAACCTCTATGTCAAAACAACCCAAGTTTGATATCAACGATCATCACTAGTGTAATGTGAGGGTTCGTCATAGGCTACTAAATCTCTGACCTGTTATAAACATCAAGATGGACACAGATAACTTTTCCAGCACTAACTTCAGAATTCATAGTACTTCTATCAGTAGTCACATCATCAATAAAGACTAGTAGAGAGCTGCACATTCCATCACATTACCTCCACCATGTTTCGCAGATGTGCTATGCTGTGGATCAGAAGCTGTTCCTAACAATGCCTTGTTGTAGACACTCTGCATTTCCATTCATGAAGGCATCTCTGCATTGTAGACTTCACGAGTGATGCACCAACCTCCCTGAGAGTATTTTTGAATTGGTTAGTTGGTATGAAGTTCTTTTTCTTTACCAAGGAAAGAATTTACGATGATCCACTTTGGTTGTCTTCTGTGGTTTTTGAGGCTTTTTGGCATGGTCGAACTGCATTCATTATTTGTTAGAAAGTACCAGATTTGGTCACTCCTAAAGTTTTTGTGGCCTCACTGACAGGCCTGCTTATATTTAATCTCCCTTAAAATAACAAAGAACCTGGCCTCAAGTGCCCATGAAACTGCTTGTCAGTCAATTGTCCAATCAAAACCTGTCCCATTGTCCAAATACTTATGGACCTGACTGTAAAATGGCAGCCACATGGACGAACTGCATGGACGAAAACCACCTTGAGGAGGGGATCAGATTACTAGAAATGAGATAAGGCATTTGCTTTTGACAGGGAAAGTGGCAGAACTGTATTTTTATTGCATACACATAAACATACACATACATACTACTACTAATAATACTAATAATAAGAAGAAAAAGAATATATTCGGTTGGTGCATAATAGTATAGTAATTTGATACCAAGTGTTAAGTATATATTGTGTAATTGGATTATTAGTCCTCTGGTGCACTGTGGGATTAAGCAGCAGTTTAATGTTGGATATGCACTCTCATATGCACAAACACTTTGTTTACATTGAGACTGATGGATTTCATTTAGTTACTGTGTATACTGTAAAATTATGGAGCACTTTTTACATTATCCAAATACATCCAAACAGTTTGAAGAGTGCATTTCATGTACCCAAATAATACTGTAATTTTCCACTGCTGTATGTATGTGCATTGATGAATGTGCACCTATATGGAAAAACCTATGAATGCATATTGTGTCAGGACGCACCTGCAGATTAAATTGTGCTGAAAACGCTCCATCTTCTACGTAACTGATATCGTTCTTGGTCAGGTTCAGATAGGTGAGGTTGCTGAAGCGACTCAGTGAAGAATAATGGACCGCCCGTATCTTGTTCTCGTTCAGCCTCAGATCCACAATAGTGCTATGGAGAGATGTGTGATATCTCTCAGCATCCAGCAACTCGGGAAAATACTGTGGAAATAAGTTTCTTTGTAAGTTTTCGTACCTGTTAATGTGGGAGGGTATGGCCTCGTAGGGAGGCTGGTTCATACTGCAGATAGCCAGCCACACGAAGCCTTTCTCCCCTTCAATAAGCCAGCAGTCTGCCTTAACCACCGGCAGCCGCATCATTGAAAGCAGTGCAAGGAAACAGAAGAAGGAGCTGGCTGTAGACAAGACCACTGATGAAGACCCTCCAGTCGTGTTATGTCGCTGCCGTCCCTGTTCAGTGTTCTGGGCCATTTGGGATGTCATTGCAGTATCCGCTGGAGAAAGCCGACCAGAGTTGCTCGCCATCTAACATTTATTCTTGTAGACTGGAGCCATTGCGAAGGGAGGGTGGGTGTGTTTTTTAACGGTTATATTTTCATGAACAGGGATTTGCTTTTCTTGAGAATTGTGACTGTTCCACGAGCGGCAAATGTGCCAAACCGAGGAATTGCTAAAAGCTTGAAGAAATAGTGTGCATGAATGGGATGTAACACTTCATTGGTAGTATGTGTGTCTAGGTAAACTGTATAAGTCGATTAATTAGCGGGGTCACATTTGATTTATGTATGATTTGGCAAGTGGAAGTCGTCCTAGTGCCAGATTGGCTGGTATTCATGTCTTCTGTGGCCATCTGCACCTCTGATTGGACAAGCACCTCTTTTCTTTCTTCCTCATTGCGTGCTGCTCTGTACTTGGTGTGAGAACCGGTCCCTGGAGGGAAAAGGAGAGAGAGCGAGAGATGGGAGGAGGGCGTAAGAACGGGATTGCCAGTAACACACAGTGGTTTGTTTGTGAGCTGCAACAAAAACAACCCTGTTACCAGCACGATGAGATAAAGGTGCTTATTTTTTTTCTTATATAACAGTCTGACGTGTGCACATGCATACTCAAATTTAGGCATGCGTACACACACAATTTTTATATACAGTGACATTTCTTGACAAGTCCAATTAGTGTACACACTGGCGCAGATACACAAGCACCTGCAGATCTGAAAAACACACACAGCTTGGTGCTGCTGCTGCGAAAAACAACACAAACAGACACACACACACACACACACACACACACACACACACACACACACACACACACACACACACACACACACACACATGCACACATGTTTTCTGCAGTTCCATTAGCCTCTGGGCCTTGATGGCCAGGGCTAAGAATGGCCATGGCTCTGATACTGTATCTAATTAATTAATCTGCTCTAAATAAAACACTTCCTGGGAAAAACAGCTGACGTATGACGGAATAGGAGAGACGGGGAGGCGGGAAAGTGAAAGAGGCTCTCACAGGGCTGTGCAGAGCAGGAGGAAGAAAAAGTGGGTGCAAGGGAGCTGCAAGGAAAGATGCTTGGGGGAGGGGGGAGAGAGATGGTGAGATGGAGAAGAGGTTGAGGTAGAAGGAGGAATAAAGCAGTCGGTGGTGAAAGAGACAGCGGTTCTGTGGGGAGAAAGAGGAGGCTGAGAGGGGAAAAAGGGATGTGGTGGGACTCTGTTCAGGGAAATTGCGAGAATAGTGGCTCCCTCTTCTCTCTTCTAAGCCTTTTTCTCTCAGCTGCGAGAGCAACAAACAGGAAGTGACATCACCGAGGTGAAGGAGAAGGAGTAGGAAGGAGCAAAAGGTTGGGCCTTCCTGACAAGCATCTCCTGGCTGCTGTTGACACATTATTGATTACGGCGAAGCAGAGCAGTGCTGATGTGTCACCTCTGATCTGAGGACGAGGGTAAATGAGAGCGGCGTACTTGTGGGGAATAGGATACAGTTCCCTTCGACTTTTTGTGTCCTTTTAGAGAGCTGGCTTCTGGAAACATTCACATATAGCTTGTTAGTAATGCATTCACATAATGAGTAATGGCAATGACATTTTTCACTTTTAATGACACATGGGTTTGTGTTGATACCCTCCGTGTTCCCTCTCATAGCTCATCAGTCATCTGGCCTTGGTCAAGTAGGTAGCACTAAACCTGCAGGGGTTTGGAGCTCGTTGGATATTGTGTTAAATGGAGATGAAAAACAAAACAAAACAATAGGAGTAATCTTTCACGCACAACCATCATGTCTAGACAAAGATATTGAACGGCACAGCAATTGTAAGGCACAACTGTGCTCCAAGTTTTCTTTGTCATTTGATTTATCACAAATGCTATGTGTTTTTCAGTGAGGGGTTTTTGAACTTCTAGACTTGCAGGGATTGATGGCTTTAACTTCTCCAGTATGCAGTTTGTCCCTTTTCCTCTTTGTCCTCTCTCCCCTCTGTACCTTTTCTCATGCATGTCTGACTCCAGAGCTGCATGTTTCTGATGCACGGTGACTGTCCCCACCAACCTGCTGAGTGTTTACTGTTATATTGTTCGTGATTTGTTGCTCCTCTTTTCTCTCTTTGCTTTCCCCTCACCCCAACCGGCTGAGGCAGATGGCCGCCCTCCTCGAGCTCGGTTTACGTCGGCGGTTTCTTCCTGTCAAAACAGAGTCCGACCGCCTGCCGTTACAATGTAAAGTTCCCCGCAATAATCGCTGTTGTGAATTGGCACTTTAGAAATAGAAATGAATTGAGGGGAACCCCCCCCCCCTCCCCCCGGAAGCCTTCTTCATAAATGTGACTAATGTACGCTGGCATGCATGAGTGTTTACCGGTGTGTAGCCATATGCATGGGCTTTCCCACCCAGTCAGCATAATCTATAATTGATGGTGAGACTTCCTCCCACGTTGCATGAGGCAAACTACCTAGATGGGACACGAGAGAAAGTGTAGGAACTGCTGCCAGCAACACACACTCTGATGGGAGATGTCCATTTTGCTGACCAGATAAACTCGAGTAAACAAACTGTTGAGAGGGAACAACATGGTGGTGTAGCAGGGGGTGCAGTGTGTGTGTGTGTGTGTGTGTGTGTGTGTGTGTGTGTGTGTGGGGGGGGGGGGGGGGGGGTGTTAGCTAAGATGCTGATTTCCACCTGACCTCTTTCTTTTCATACTGAGGCAAGTACAAGGGTCCAGGAGACAGAACAAGAGTGCAGGTTACCAGAAAGAGAGATCCAGTAGCAGTTACTAGCTTTCACTTGACCTTCTTTGTAGTAAAAAGTGTAGTAAATACACTTGTAGTAGCTAACGTGATATGCACAGAAGGAACTGTTAAGAGCCTGTCGGCCTCTTTTCCATTTTGCATCATTCATTGCATTCCCCGACCTCGCTCGCACTCTCCGCATGTACGCACGCTCGACACTGCCTCAGCTGTCGAGAACAGGCATGTGGAATATTTCAGCACTCAGCATCGTGACCGCCTCACTTTTCAGTCATGTCACACTCAAAGATTTATAGGGTACAAACTGTCATCCCGAGAAAGACTGAGACTCTAACCTTGCTTTGACCACGGTGGTGTCATGGCTGCTGTACTTTAAGGTAATGTTGTGTAGATGCGCATGTTCTCTGAAACTCTGGAAAAACAAGCCACCCGGGGAAAGATTCATATAGCTGTGTGTGCACAAAAGCAGAAAAATGCATACGCTGTCTTCTTGAGAGATTTCGAAAGCCACGTGTATGCGCTGTCCTCTTTTAAAAACACAAATCTCAGTCACAGTGAGATTTTACGCACATGGCCGAGCCAACTCTTTGCTCGCATCTTTAGCCACGAGTGGACACAGATGCTTTCTTATTGCATCAGTTCCATATAAAATCGCTGTTTGCAACTCAGGTTAATGAAGAAGTGCAATTTACTTTGGGGAGGATGTGAAGAAAGTGGAGAAAGGGAAATGTGGCTTTGATTGTTTTTGGAATTAAAAAGAAAATAAAAACAGAACGGGGATAAAAAAGAGCAAAAGACCCTGGCAAAAAACAAAATATTAGACTACAAACAAAAGGAAAAAAAGAGAAAGCAGACCATTACACATGGTCACAGCTATTTATAGCATCAGTGATGATAGACCATCGTAAAAGCACTGGCTGTTTTGCTTCATGCTAGTTATTTCTCACCTTATTTTTCATCTTTATGCTATTGGACTTGGCCTTCTCTAGAGGCATTTTTACAGTTAATTTTTACATTATAAAAAACACTTTGCATTCGGGGAAGGTCATATTATATGCATGTTTCTTTGTACATACACAGTTTATGCACACAACCTCTGTAAACACCCCTAAAACTGGTCTTTGTTACACCTTCCTCACATGATTATCAGATTATTGAGTCTCGCTGATTTTCACCATGATTTTTATATTGTGTCTTTGTAATATGGAGACATAGTTCTGACTGAATCTCCCCTTTAGACCCTCTTGAGCACTGGAGCACTCTCCTTTGAGAGTCACTATTTTTTATTTACTCTTGTTTCCATTTCAGATTCTGTTACTCTCCCTTTTCATCATGATTTTTTCTCTTTTTTTGGTCAGGCATAGCCACAGTCTCCTTCCTTTTTTGAGCGTTCGTTTTCCTGGGAGATTTTTAGTATCCAGACAGAATTGCATAATAAAAGCGAGGATGCAGACCGCATCATTATTTTTATTTTACCTGTTACTCTGTGCAGTAAAAAATAAGTGTGTCATCTTTAACAAGGCAATAAATGTACAGTCCAGTTTCCTTTGATTTAATGAATCTAAATAACCTCAAATCACAAACATCCATCATCATACGCTCATTTGCAAGAAAGGAGCTTGTGTGAAACAGCAGCAAGTGGCCCGTAAAACAATAATAAACTATTGTCAATCAAAACACATATTAAAACATTTTAAACTATCAACAAAATTTTTAGTAGCATCTTTATTGTATTTCTGATTTTCGCTCTTCTTCTCGCTCCCTGCGTCAGCGCTACCCCAAACAAGTGGGAAAGATCCACAGCATGACTCAGAAAAATCTAAGAGAGTCAAGCAGAGAAAGTAGATTGCAGATGATGTATCCTGTTTACAAAGCTGAAGGCTGTTCTTTCTATCTCTGCTGAGAAAGCTACAGAGTTGCAGTCCTGTTGGTTTGATATTTTACACATTTCAGAGACACCTGGTTTTAGGTTACGCCCTGAGGCTAAAGAGAAAGAAACAAGTTTTCTGGTGCAGATCCCTGAAGGGTTTATTTTATATGCTCTCATTTAAATGGATCAAGGAATATTTAGTCGGTGTTTGTCAGCTGCATATAGAGAGGTTCACGTCAAAGGAAAATCCTGAACCCTTGACTCCTGAAAGGTGTCCATTAAGTCTCTTGTGCTGTAATGGGCATTTTGTCCCCCTATAGGGAAGGGTTGCTTCTCATCAATGCAGTATTGTCCTGAGTGATCAACTTTAACCCTAATGGGCATGGTCTCTCAATCCAAAGGCCACAAGGAGTCACCAAGTGAAAATAACTGTGCTCATTTACTGTGAATCTTCAAGTCACCAGATGGAAAAGTCTGCGCTGACAGGTTGTACAGCTCTCTGCTTCACGGTCATGAAAGTACCAAGTGAGGGAATATATATTTTATTTTATTCCAGGTTTCTAGTAGCACTCAGTTTTCTTTTCCTTTGGGTGATAACTTCATTTTATCATGCAAACACTCACCTGTTTATGCCTGCAATTACCTAGTCACACAATGTACCAGCAGTACTAAGCATAAGATCCAGCACACAAGTCCGGGGCTTCAGCTAATGTCCACATCAAACATCAGAGTCAAGACAAAAAGCGGTCTCCGTCACTGCAGCCGTGATGTGAGTGTTGATGCCAGATGGGTGAGTTTGAGTATTTCTC